ATATTCATACAAATTTTCGCTTCGAATGGGTTCTTGGTTTTGTGATACACTACGCTTGAAATTCTAAGCTTTTGCGTGACGCGGCATTTACATGACGGCTTAGAGATCTGTCATGATGGTTAAAAAAGTGACTATCTGAACAGTTCACGTCTTAGAAAAAGTATTATTTTAATGTTTTAGAGTACCTCGAGGGATAAATTCACGCTTTTGTAGCAAAACTCAGTGACAGATGTTTCTGTTGGTTTCCGGACGCCATGTTGGTGCCCATACGGATGGGCACGAGCATGGTGTCTCCATACAAATCTCTATAAGTTTGGGTAAAAAATTTCTCAGCGTATCTCGCATAAGAAAAATTGCTGTAACCAGAATTTTGGCGAGAGTCTTTGCATATTTACCTTACTTTCATTTCCCAGGTTTTGGACTTAATCTATTGACCTGTTTTGATTTTTATTTTGATCTATTTTGAATTGCGTGACACTGAAAACCAGCAATTGATAAATATACTCGAAGCGACAAGGACAACTGTCAAAGTTTTCGTAAGATTTTGCAAATTGTGATACATACAGCCGATAGGACTGGCAAAGACTCTTTCTTTTCAGAAAACAACAAATTTTTTGTTTGTTACTGACAAGGCACACTGAAAATTTTGCACTGTGACGTCAGTCCTCAGCTTGGCGCATCTTTGGTCAAAATTGAATAAAGTAAGACAGTTTAGTTTGGGACGCACTTCTACTCCTGTTATTTCTTTTCAGCTATCATCTGTTACATCAGTGCCGAATTAGCTTTCCTTACCACAATTTGTTTCGTCGGAACCTTCCGGACAATCCTTAACGCCGTCACATAACTTTGTTACGTCAACACAAGCTCCGCTGCCGCAATTGAACTCATCGGACAAGCATGCGCAATTCTGTTCGTCTGAGTTATCCAGGCACGCCATGTCTCCATCACATCGCAATGATGATGCAACACATTGTCCATTGTCACAGACAAATTCGTCACCGCTACATTGATAACCTGGTGGTTTGTTCAGAGAATGTTTGGAGAACAAAAAAAAAAAAAAAACAAGGAAACGTTTCTACCGACACATAAAGAAACATAAAAGATCAATGTATTCATTGTTTGAGAATAACTATACTCCAAGCATGGTGATACTGATCGTACACAAGACTTTAGTTTATCTTTGTTGACCTCTTAAGTTTAGTCTACTTTCTTGTTTGGAGATTGATAATGAAATCCAATCTATAAAGTGTAAAAATGTGGGGTGTTTTTCTCAAATTTCGGAGAATGCTGGACGAGATAAATTAAAATGGAAACTTTCTATGCTTTTAACCAATACAATTATTGGCGTAAAATCCACCAGTGAGTCCTGAACAAGATCCTACCGCAGAGTGAGAATGGAAATGACCCCATCGTAATCAAATTCAAACTTGCACCTAATTGCACCTTTGCACTGTGCATAACCGGATGTGTAGAAAATTGAAAAGTCCTTGATCTGTGGTGTGCTTACAAGTGCGACAAGAACAACAATTTGATATCGTGCATTTTTTTGTATATTCTTGAGCATAATGTCTTACCTGGAGAAGAGAACACAGGGTACACTTCACAGTTGCTGGTAAAAATTTTCACGTCATCGATGCCAATGGCAAATTCATCAACACTGTTTGTAAAGCCTCTGAACACGATCTAAGGTTAACATACTTAATCAGCTAATTGCTAAACTCTGTCTATTTGGGTTGGTCTTTACAAACGCTTCTCAAACCATTTGTTTGTTTACTTAGTTTGTTACCTTTGAATCCTTTGTTTCCGTCCACGAAACTTGAGCCTTTGACCAAGTGTCTCCATGATAACCAAACAAGTTATAGATAAGAACTTCGCTTTCATCATGAACTGATTTCAGGCTCACGTTGAGACTGGAACCGGATTGACCTCGCATTGAATAGCGAAAGGTCAGACATAATCGCACAGAGTCCCCAGCCGAAATTAACGGAGTTTCAAGTTTGACAGTATACGGAGAGCCACCTGCATAAGCAAAATAGCCTGAAGAAAAAGAACGAAATTGTGAATTAAGTCTGCAAAGAGAGACACTTTGTGCACATCGAGGTATTGCATAAAATAAACGCTGGATCTGATAATCATAATATTCTGGTCATGGAAAATAAGTCGTACCAATGCGTTGTAGTTTCTTCAGAAATGATGGACGAAAACCACGCCTGCCACCCAATAGAGTCCTAATATTGGTGTTTTGGTCGAGATCATGTTGCGGTCATGATGGCCACAACAAACATTAACGCAATGTCTGGTTTTACGTTTTCGACTTTTTTAAATAACCATCGCTTAAACAGAGACTTTTTGAAGGCGTAAATAAATGTCTATGCGAACATGTTGGTGAGATACTGAAATGTGAATTTATACCGTTGTGACCAGATAGTTTATTCCGACTGGAAAACTTCCACTTTCCTCCAGTATTCCATTTCGGACAAAGGCCTGATGCACTTTCAAAACTGCATTCCTCAACAAATGACTCTGAAAATGAAGAGTAAAACAATTTTGAAATCAGTACAATTTACTCGTTCACTCGCTCACTCATACATTCATTGACTCAGTAAAGTGACATCTCTCTATGGCGTTTCTCAGTGTCTAATTTTGCATGAGGACTAGTAGCTAAATTGAGTAGGATGGGGTAAACAAAGTTAAGTTTCAATCGAGTGAGTTTAGGTGTTAATCACAGATATTGAAACTGACTGATATAAATTGCCTTTACCGTTAACAGTAATGTATCCCAGGGGTCTTCTCGTCACGGTTGATTCGTTCATAAAAGACCAATGGACCTTTATAAAATGGAAAGAACATCAACGTCGTACCCATGGCTTTTCCCTTGAAGTTAATAGGGTTCATGGAATCACAAAAGACGCTTTAGGCCTTAACAATAATAATAATAATAATGATAATGATAATGATAATGATAATGATAATGATAATGATAATGATAATGATAATGATAATGATAATGATAATAATAAAAGTTACAAACCTGAAATTATGAGAGACGCGAGTATATTAATTACAACTTAGATCTTTAAGTCGTTGAGGCCACCTTCTGTATCACGTTGGTGCACTAGAGGGTAAAGGTGGTTAAAGGAAACAGATGGCAAAGCTTAAAAAACTTTGCACCAGCCAGTTCATGATTAACTTTTCTTTACTAAGTAATACTTAAAAATAAAAAATCACAAAAGTATTCGTCTCACTACGTGATGGAAGCCGCGTGAAAATATTATGCCTCAATATTTTCAAAGGTTCAAGTTCCCTGCGAAACTTTTTGAAATGACCAAAGATATGTTTCCTCACTACAGTTGTTTCTATTTTGTATCAGCGACTTCTTTGCTCTTTAGATGTATTTTGTTTTATGATCTACAAGGATGCAAAACATCCGTGCAACAGGAATGTAGGATTAGGCACATTTTACCTCCTGTCGCCATGCCGGGCGACAGAACGTAAAAGACCCTTGTATAGAAACATGTTAGGCAAGTAACAATTAAAAGATCGACGTTTCACTAGTTTACCTCCATATTGTACCGTCCAGGTTGTACTGTTACAGGAATACTTATGTTGAATTGCTTTTTCACACAATTCGTCTCCAGAGAGTTGTCTATCATGTAATCATGTCCCATGACGTAAATCTTGAGTTGCATGGAACACTCAGGACACCACATACCAACACAGCACAACTTGTATGTTGCTTTGATAAAGAAAACAATAACAGTTCAGAAATGTTGTTTCGTCCGTTCCGCCGTACGCACATTTACACAGGGGCGCCTTTCAAACACCAAGAACAGACTTTAAGTCAGTCAAAACGGTCTCCAGTATTTTCCTGCGCTTCACTTTTTATAACTCGATAAGAACGCCCTTAGTATTAGCTCTGGGTGGCTCAAAACAGTTTCCAGCATTTCCCAACACTTTGATTCTGATGGGTCGTTTATAACTACTCTTTATCAATTGATGCTACAATCATGGTATCAAAAAAACTACTCAATCATTGGTAAACACGTTGTTATATTTTTCGTGACACAATAGGTTACCATAGCAACAGTATGACTCGCTAAAAACACCCTTAATTATAGGCTAAGCTTTAAGGGGTTATAATTCAAAAACCGCGCGGTGAAATTTTTTTTATATCATCACACTTTGATTAGCAAGATAGGACGCAACTTTTAGCAAAGTTTGAAAAAAAATCTGTACATGGGGTTCAGAACCAACTTAACGTTTTGAGAATTTAATAGGGCCAAAGTTTCATGGCCCATTGGTGACCGTATTAATGAGCTTCCACCGTATTTACACATGTCGCATTTCTTTCGCCGTGTATTTTAATTTCGTTTTTTTAATGCTCAGCCAAATTATTCTTTTTCTGATGGTTTTAAAATTGGTTTCCACACAAATCTTTTTTTTTTATTTTACTATCATAATGTCTTTGGCCTCTAATTTATCAGAATAGAAATGCTGTTATAAAGCCCAGTACAAAATATGTCTATGTGGAGCTCCCCTTCCAGGATTGTCTAATCTTATATATGAAAAACTATGATAGTGTACAGTCGTATAAGTGATGACGTTCTTGTACTAACCATTAATGTGTAAGGTCGAACCAAAGGTCACTGTTATGTCTTTAATGTCGTTCTGTATTTTGAAAGTTAATTTTCTTTCACCTGTTAAGAGAGAAAAAGGAAACAAACAAATATAAACAGTTATTAGAATACAGAAACTAACTAAAATGCTCACTGTATTCCCCCGTGTCAAGAAATAATTAATGCCCTAAAAGTTAATCGCAATAATTAATTCTTACATTGAATCGTGTCAGCTACCTGGAAGGATCCAAGTTGTACGGTTTCCAGCTAGAGGTCTTTCAAAAGACCGAGTGTTATGAGGAAGCCTCAAACCCACAGACAAGTGACCTCGCCGATACGCCTCTCGTGAGAAGCCCTCCAACAGATAGAGCGTACAGCTTCTAAGGTAGATTTTCTTCGATTTTTGGGCCGTTTTCCTTAAAGTTTAGTTAAAGGAAAAAACAACAAAATGTTTTATTAGAACAAAGTATTTCTTTGGTATTAAGCATCAATGAAGGTGATATAGCCGAGAGTAATATTCTTATCATCAAGTAAGCTATCACTTCTCGCGAATAATTCGATACCCGTAGACTAATAAGGTTGCGTGTTTCATTTTAGCTGACGACAACTATAACGCGAGCACGAATGAGTATGCTTAGCCGGGATTTCGTTCCAGCTTTTTATTTTTGAGGTTTCTTTGTTAATATTCGTCGTAACAAACTCTGGCGACAAGGGAAGCAAGAGGTTTTCAGTCAGCCACACAGCTTCTGAAGTCAATCATCCAGTAAACAGGTAATATGGTAACTGCACGTAACTAATCCCAGATGGAAAACATATATTATATATTTAAAGTTACTTAGCAAATGGTTCCTTACTCGTCCCACTTCAGACGTCCTGTTCTTGTTGGTAATTTTGTAGTAAGTTCTCCTTCCTGATCCATTTCACTTTCATCGTTCAGTATTGGTTCGTTTGCTTCGTTTATCCACAGTTCACATTCATCTTCACACGTCATAAAGAATGTGTACCAACCACTTACTGCAGGCTGTAACATCAAATACAATAGAATCAGTGGAATATAAATGACCTGCTCTTTTACATTAAGACTCTACGCAAAAGCAGGAAACTTTTTAGATCGTTTGTTTACAACAATACTTTATTTTTCCATTGTTTCCATAGAAACATCACATCTGAATGTTGAAAGGGAATTGTCCCAAGGAATTTGAGCCTGCGCGGGCTTCAGTTGAAAACTCAAAACTTTAAGAAAGAATTTATGGGCTTCTAAGCGTTTTTACTACCCAGAATTTTGCGATTTTTCCTTCAATATTATACCCAAAGGACCAAACATGTCACCGATTACTAAGATTTAGGCCGTCGATAAAACCAGGAACGGGGAACATCCCGGAACATCCCGGAACATCCTGAAACATCCCGGAACATCGAATAATTATAATAATTATAAGAAAAATGTTTAAAATTAAATTTTCAAAAATTAAATTAAACAAAAATAAACAGGTATCAGCTCGGAAAATTAAAAAAACAAACAAAACAACAAGATAAAAAAAATAAAGATAAAAAAAAAGTAAAAATGACTGCAATGAGTGAAGCCTTGCAACTTAGAAGGCTAATCCATTCCGTCAGGTCGTTTGCTATCAGTTTAACCACGTGACTGTCCCTTATTCCCAGATTTCGTTCTGCATGGAAATCCAAGGTTGTGGCGTTCGAACTCTTTAATCAGACCGAAAAATATGAGTAGCCGAGTGTGATTTCTTTATTCAATTCATTACACTATTCAAAGATATGCGTATACACGACTTCTCATGAAGAAATAGTTTCTCCATGAGATAGAAATAGAAACTCTGCAGTATTGAGTTTCATGTCTAAACTAGTTCGCACTGCTCGAACTCTGATGACAATGTAAACAAATACATACACAAAATTTAAAAAACATTTGGCGACGCGCTGTATTGCAGGGTCGCTGGTCAAAACTTTATTGTCGCAAGAAATATTTATTACAAGTGTTGGCGATCTGAAATTGAATTCTAAATGTCGCCAACAGTTCAAATGCCTTTTCTGGGAGGAGTTTTGTCTAGTACAAGTCAATACCTAATTGATTAAAAATACTTTTACCGCAAGCTATAATCTATTCATCGCTAGTTCAACTTCACGTGCAGATTGTTATCTGACATTCGATCAAACTTAGTTTTCTATCGAGCCATTCAAACGCAAAAGTAGACCAAACATTTGAAGTACGCACGTGTACGCACTGCTCTATAAGTCTTTTATTACTGCTAGTTCATTAGTAATAACTTGCTTGTTACTCGGGCTTCCGCAACTCCGCTATCCATCATCCAGATCGTCCATGTTTTTGTTGAAAAACAGAGTGCTGTAAAGCCACATGACGCAATTGGCGGGAAAGAAGAGGAACCTGCACTCATTGTGGTCAGTTGAATGAATACGCAACGTTCCCTCCCCCTCCCCTACCGACTCCCCTATCCCCAAAAATATCTTTTCATATTTGGAGCTGATACCAGTTTATTTTGTTTATTTTGTTTATTTTGTTTTAGAATATTCAATTTTACATATTTTTCTCATAATCATTTTAATTATTTGATGTTCCGGGATGTTCCAGAATGTTCCGTGTTCCGGCTTTTATCGACGGCCTAAGATTTACAAGGTTAGTGTGTACCAACCATCCTACCATACCTGAATAAATGTAGACAACCGCTGTACATATGGAGTTGAATAATCTGGAGCGATGTCGAAAGCGTCTAGTATGGATAGCGTGTTTGCGGCTTCTCGAAAAACTGGATGGTACTTCAGAATAGGATCATCCTGAGTACTAATTCCCTTAAACCAGACTTCTCTGAGAACTCCTAAAGACTGTCTCAAAGTTTCTAAAAGACAGTAAAAAAAGTTCAAGTGGTTTGGATTAGACTCAAGTAACTTTATTAATCAAGTGTTGGTGACGATGATGGTGGCGCGCTGCAAAGCGAAATAGCTTACCTAGTGCGTAAACAGCTACTTCACACAACACCAGCGTATCGCCTTCTGTTGTCACGCTAACTGTCACGTAACGACCAGTGACTGGGGGAGTGCAGCGAAACACAAGAAAGGGTTTTCTTGGAGAAGGACTGGGCTCAATACACGGACGATTCGGAAGATTTCTTGTGTTTTCTGTCTTGATTTCGAAGTCAGCGTTAAGGCAACAATCAAGCCCGAGAAAAATGTGTACAGTGTGTATGTGATAATCTTTCGTTAAATCCACTTGAAACCATAGATTGGCTGCCTACAGGCCAAAACAAAACAAACAAACAAGATCAAAATGATGATCATGAAAATATTGAACACTATCTAAATGATATGAGAATAAATTGTATGCTGACCAACATGATTTGACGGGAAACACACACGCCTGCCGGGCATGTGCCCTACAAAGTTTTTTCTGTGTAAAATCTTTTCTTAAACGCATCTTACAGAAGAAGACTTGGCAAGATGATAAATGTAGTACTATCGTATAAGACTTTTAACGGTTCCATCGTGACTGCAGATATTGTCATTACTCAAAAACGCTTGGAAACGTATGACGTCACAGCCATTTTATGCTCTTAATTATTTTAGGAATACCGACCAGTTGCACTGTTAATGTCCGGCCTCAAGTTTCCTCATGGGTCTGATGAGGATGAGATGATGATGCATTGTTAATGTTTAAGATTCGTCCTATTCGAACAGTTTTACAAGGTTAATATGTGTTTTTTTTTGTTTTTGTTTTCCACCTAATACATAAAATGGTGAAGTTACCGTATGGAAAGTTGTGCAAGTACTGAAGAGTCCATCTACTGAAAGCGACACGTGACCACGTGCGGCAGGTTCTGATTGGTTAATGGGCATGTGAAGAGCGACATTCCTTTCTGTGACTGAAAATGGAAAAGAAATGGAGTAGGCAAACAAAACAAATACCCGGTATGCCGGATAAAAAAACATTTCAAACTGGTAGCAAAACATCTTAATAGTCATTTGATAATTTTCTTTGAATTAAGTTCTTCCAACTTCCTAGCGAAGGCATACCTTAGTGACATTGTGGGCACTTGTTTGTTGGTCAGTGTTAAAATTCGTACAAACAAAATAACACATCCCAATTCCTAAGACAACGATAATTTTCTTTGTGTATTCAACAGTCTAGATATTATCTCAATGTCACAACTGTTGTAATTGTACCTAATGGTGGACCACAAACAACGCCGGAGTCCTCTAAATGGGCACAATCCTTCACTCCTAGATCCGCTCTTTGACAAAGAAATAGTGAACTCTCGTTCCCAATACATTTCACATCATCCAGCCATATCGGACCTGAACCACTCCCAAACGATTCACCCCCAGGGGCTGATGTAGCCCGGGGAAAGCCTAGCATATTACACACGACGTTTGCATTTTCAGTGCTCCAGTAATCATCGCATACCGTTCCCCAGACTCCATTAACGGACACTTCCACTCGGCCTTCATTCGATGACCTGCCATCCACCAATCGAACTTCAAAAGCTGAAAAAATAACGAACTCTAAATTAATAAAAACAATAAAAACGAATAACGGGCATATATTTTTACATGTTGTTAGGGTGACTGCTATTTTTCATTGAAACTCGCAATTAACGATCAAACAGTTCTGAAAACATCCTCACAAGTAATGTTTCCACAGATCACTCCAGCGTCTTCATGGTGCTGACACTGACTCGAAGCACCCAGTCCTTGGTGATAACAATCGAGGATTGATTTCTCATTTCCAGTACATTTAACTTCGTCTAACCAAATCGTCCCAGTTCCCGGACCAAAGCCCGAGTCTCCGGGGGCTGCGTGTGCTTGAGGAAGACCCAGCATGTGGCAAATGACTTTGGCGCTGTTTAAATCCCATTTATCGTCACAAACTGTTCCCCACATCCCATTCACTGCTATTTCAACTCTTCCTTGCCTGGATGTATTTCCTCCTGCAAGGCGAACCTCAACTGAAATACACACCGATGAGATAGTTTCACCAATGTACCTCAGTCTACAAGTTACAATCCTTTGTTATGTCAAAAAAAAAAAATTAAGTATCATTTTTTTACAGTATCAAAGAAATCTAACTCCGTTATTGTGTTTTACGGAATCAGGAATCAACCTAACATCCGGTAAAGCTCATAACCCATCGTAACTCTTTTCCGACCTTTTCATATCGAAGTGCACATGACGCCACTTAATTACATACACGATTAAGACCACACCTTGGAAAATTTCTCTCTGTGTGTAACCTTAGACAACAGAATTCATACATGATTAAACTTAATTAGTGTCACACAAGTGTATGAATTGTAATAATATGGGTTGGGTGGAGAACTTACTTTTGGCACAGTAAGTCAACCTCCCGGTCCAGACTCCTGATGCTAAGCACGTTCTTGTATCAGAACCAATACGAGTGTATCCTGGTGCGCATGTTAAGTTACAATGACTTCCAACTGAGTTTCCAGCAGAACATGTAATAGTACCATTTTGTAAGATTGGAATTACTGGACAAGTGGTTACTGTAAAACGACAATGAACTATCTCAAGTTTTCTGATTTTGAAAAAGTGACTATACCGTCGAGATCAGTTGCAAGAGAAGATTAATTACACTATGAACAAGAAATATTTCTGAGTTTTCTACTTTCAAAAATGAATATGTTGATGGACCAAGAGCTTTAAATCACGGGTTAATTCGACATGCAATCGTAATGATTCAATTAAGTACCCGGGACGTTAATTTACTTTTGTAACTACGGGGAGGGCGCTTTATACTAGGGACGATGCATGATGATATCTGAGTGTTAATATGCAAAAAAACAACAGATGCTTTAACTCAAGAACTGTAACAATAGGTGCTCTGATATTCACAATGTTCAATATTACGCTCACATGAGAAGGAACACTATATTGGGGCACTTATTCCGTGTGAATGTCGAACCACTTGTATCAATGAGCGAACACTCGATGCCAGCACCTAAAATAAATGTCTCTCTAATGGTAACTGTCAAGTAACTGATTGAAATCACGTGATCACCATAACATACCATTACACTTATCAGACACGGACACGTCATCCAAGGAAATATCTCCCTGGGTACCAGTTCCAATTATGCCCTCAAACGTGAGCTGAAAAATACATTGTACTGTTAAAATTCCCTTAACAGCAACTGAGCAACAATGGCAAAATGGATTTCGGGAGACGCGATGTAAATGGAGCCGTGATATTAGTGCAAAAAAACCTATCTACATATTGCCCAAAAGTTGCATTACAGTCAGTACAGTTCTAAAAACACAGTATAAGCACACTTATAAACAGATTGCAAATTAAGGTACAGAGCCCATGCACATGCATGGGCTCTGTACCTTAGTGCAAAAACACCTAACAATTTTTATAAAAATTTACCAAAACGGCCCTCAAATTTAACTAACTCGAAACCGGATAGAGTTTCTTGATTCTCAGAGGTCGACGGCACAAACGGACTGATGTAGCGCTGAACCTTGTGTTTGTTTTTCGCTTTTGGCAGACTTTTGTCCCCTTCTTGGTGTAGATGACATTGGGTACACGTCACAAACGAGCACCGCCTCACAAACCTGTTGTTGTTATTTTTTCCTCGTTCTTTTATCTTTTTGTTACGTATTGGCTTACGTCAGCTGTGTCTTCTACATCAAATAAGAGCCAGAGTTTTGACCCGCCTAATTTAACACATGTAGTTTGGAGAAAATACGGCGAAAATGGACTTGTTTACGATATCATCTTTACCTGACTGTTTGATCCATTCACTAGCACTTGTGCTTGTGTCCAATCAGATCCCTGTTCTCCCGTTATTTCGAAGACAACGTTGCTGTCAACAGACAACCGAAGCTTGCCTATGGCCGCTCCGTGCATGTGATAAAAGAACGAGAGACAAAAGGTAGCAGAAAAAAGTGGAGAAACTAACTGAGCTCGGTCGCCAATTTTTCTGGGATAGTCGGCCTCAGTGTAAACGTACTTCCCTGTTAAAAGCAATTTTTAAAACATTATTCTTATATATTTCTTCTATCAATGACTCTTGAAACGGGAAATTCATTTACCATAGTACATGCGATACAATGCAAAATATCGAGAATTATAATGCATCAGGAGCCATAATCGGGGACGGAGACCGTAAGTCTTGGGATCCGCGCGCACCTATGATATGGGACAATT